ACTAAATTAAATATCTTTAATTAAATATTCAATATAATTAATGATTTATAGTTAATTACTTACATTAATTAATAGATTTGTTTATTTATTTAACTTTAATTCAATGTTTTTGATATCAGAACCTCAAAAAAATTGTTTTGTTTTATTATTAGTCACCAAAGTATAAAAATATTCTACATTCAAATGGAATACTTTTGTTTTAAGAGGAAAAATTGAGAGGATATTAGAAGACGATTTTTCCTCTAAATATGAGATTACTTTTTTCAGGGTGCATATATATCGCTCTAAAAAGAAGTAAAATATCTCGCATGAAATTGAAGGAAATCCTTTAAAATTAGAAATAATATTTTATATTTTGAGCGTAACAAAAAGAATTTCATTAGGGTCGTAAATTCGATTTATGTCAGGAAGTGGAGTTTTTATTTTTTTAGATTGACCACAAGGATCAATACGGGAAATGGATGCACGAATCAACTCGAAAACAGATTTGTAAATTGCTTTAAACAATAGCTCAAAATAATACTGAACAGAAACAGATTGGATTTTAATTCCAAAACACTTTCCCCTGGGGAAATTGATTTGTGCGAGTATAGATTCGAAATGTATTTCCGCTTTATATATATATATATGAGAAAAGTCGGCTAATTAGAGTACCTATCACAAAAAAATTATTAAACAAAATATAATTAAATTTGTTCTCACACTTTTTTCACACTATTTCTTCAGAAGCATAAATTAATAATATTAATTTGTAGTATAGAAACGATAAAAGCGACTATTACTTTCCTCTTACATTAAGAATAATTTCTTTACATTTTAAAAGGATTATTAACTTATAGATAATCTTATTTTGTAAATTATTTACATTTTACGAAGACAGTCCTCTTAAATGGAGAGGACAGTCCTTTTATTACCATGTCGTAGAGAAATAAAAGTTAGATCCTCTCAAACGAAGAATATTTTTTTCAATGAAGAATTTATATTATTAAATTATTCATATATATTGTATGAATATTTTAACAATATGAATTCTTCATTGAACAAAATATTCTTCGTTTGAGAGGATTCAATTTTCATTCTTCTAAGATAAGGTAACAAAAGGGACGTCCTCTCAATTCAAGGGGATTTTTTTCTTAAAGCTTAATTTGCAAAATCAGATTATCTATAAGTTAATCATGTTTAAAAATAAAAGAATTATTCCTAATGTGAGAGGATAGTGATAGAGTCATTTTTATTATTTCTATTTTCTTAAAATAAGAGGAAAATAGTTATTAGTAATACTTTTTGTTTCAAGTATAAAATTGCTGGGAATTTTAGAAGTGAAAATCTCTTAATTGAAGAATATTTTTCTATGCATAAATTAATATGTATTTATAATTTTAAAACATGATATAAATTTTTTTAATTTTATAATATTCTTGTATTAAATTAAACTTTTTCTACTCTCATATTCAGAAATTATTGTTGGTACCTATTTGGTACCAACTAATTCTTAAAATGGCGAATTTTCATTTGTCCGAAATTGCAAATGACCGAACAAGCAAACGACAGAAAGATTTCGGCGCGAATTTTAAAATTCACCAATGACAATTTTCTTGATAATTTATGATTGTTTAATTTTAAAATTCCCGCTGTAATCATTCTATCAATTCTTTGTCGGACATTTGTAATTTCGATTAAATGGAAATTTAGCGTTTTAAGAATGCTATTGAAATAACAATTCGTGCAAATAAAAATTCAGACAAATAAAGAAATTGGAAATTCTAATATTTCAAAATTCGAATCACTTAAAATTCTGTTGAATAAGAAATCTGCTACTTCAATATTTGGTTAAATTGGAATTTTTTTTTAAATCAAAAGTTGGTAAAGAAAAATTCTGTAAAATAAAAATTTAGCCAAATAAAAATAATTCGGAATCTATAAATTTTCTTAAGAAAAAATTCATTCAAAATTAAATATTCTGTAAAATGTTAATTCGAAAAATAAAAATCCGTCTAAAAATAATTGTATCTAATAGAATTCATTGAAATGAACATCTTTAATTAATGATTTTTGGGACCGGACGCATGATTATGTTCTAAAAATCATAAATTAGAATTTTCATTTGTCAGAATTTTTATTTACTCGATTTTTCATTTAACATAAAAGGCATTTTAAATAATTTTTATTGGGTAGAATTTCATTGCATAGAATTTTCTTTCAGATGAATTTTTATTTGTTCGAATTATTATTTGATATAATTTCCATAAAACCGATTTTACATACTACAGAATTTTTACTTAACGAAAAAATCATTTAACAGAATTTCTAATTGATAGAATTTTCATTTGTCCGAAATTGCAAATGACCGAATGAACAATCGAACAGAAAGATTTCGGCGCGATTTTTAAAATCAACCAATCAAAAATTATCCATAAAATTGTGATTGGTTGATTTTTAAAATCGCGCCAAAATCGATTGTTTGTTCGGTCATTTGTAATTTCGGACAAATGAAAATTCTGTTAAATGTTTTTTCGGCTAAGTAAAAATTCTATATTGTGAAAAATCGGTTATATGGAAATTATATCAAATAATAATTCGAACAAAAATGAAAATTCGGCTCAAAAATAATTATGACAAATAAAATTTCATAAAATGAAAATTCTAACTAATTATTTTTAGAACATAATCATGCGTCCCTGCACTGAGAAAACTGGAGTGTTAAATTCAGAGGTTCAAAAAATGTATGTTCAACTGTCTTATCAAGAGAGTTTAATAGTCCTTCGAAATGTATTTTTGAATTAATAAAAGAAATCTGCTTTCATATTCTGTCCGTTCACGCACGGAGGGATAAAAGCTGCGCAGAAAATTTGAATTAGCTTCTGCGCACAAAGATCGCGCTAAGATATATGGTGACATTTAATTTAATGTATTAAATTTTGAGGTTAGGTTGCCATATTTATTTATTCCGCGCAAGATAAGGAAGGGATTCCTTAAGATTTATCATTTGTTCCTCAACCATAAACTTATTATCCCTCCAGGAGGGATAACACGACTTTCCCTGAATGGTGTATTCGATTACTTAGAGTGTTGTTCCATAGCCAACTCTCAAATATGAATTCTTAATCCCTCCAGAGGTTTAATCTGAACCTCCAGTTTTCTCAGTGTGATTTTTATGGTAAATTCATGAGCCCTGGAAAATATCTTGTTAATTTTTAACTTTTCACTACTTCGCAATTTTTTTTTCCAATTATCGGTCATTAAAATTTTCCACTTATGAACTACAAAAATCTTAATGAAAAATCAAGAGAAAACTAAATGTAATAGAATCGCTTAAAATTGAAAGTATTTTAACTTTTGAATTTGATTATTATTTTTTGAAGTAAATGAGATATTGAATAAGCGTATATATATATATATATATATATATATATATAGAAAGCTTAATAGTTATTGCAATGCAGAAGTCTAAGTTAGCAATGAATTTTAGCTACCTATCCTATAACTTGTGAGAAAGTGTATAAACCGGAAACGCGTATCCGCTCAACAAGGTAAGTTAGCCAGTGTGAAATCTAGGTCAATTAAAGAGTACTGCGAATATTCGTACTAAAATTTAGCGAGCTTTTAAGGGAATATGCGGGCTCAATGAAAATCAAAAGGGTGCACCGGACCGATAAAGAGTTGCGCGATAGTTATATATGTATATATAGTTTTCAAGCTTAATTTAAAGTACAATGATAAAAAAAAATATATAAAATAAAATATACCAATAATATTTTTAACTAACAAAATTTTTAAAAACATATCTTTAATTTAACTATTTATTTTGTATGTATATATCACAAAGAAAGCTTCTTCTGAAGAAGAAAGAATAAAAAAATCTTCTCATTAAATCATAAACAGGAGCAAAATGATAAAAAAACAAAATAGCAAGAACAGTTAAAAATTTATTTTCTACTTAAACAAACTGAACAAAAAATTTATTTGATTCAAATACTTTATTACTTATGAATATTATCAAATAAATATTTACTTGAATCAAATAATTTTTATTTAAATTAAAAAAATTGTATTTGAACCAATAATGTTTGTATTTAAAAGAAATACCATTTAATTGACTCAAATAATAATTATTTGATACAAATAAATATTTATTTGATAATAATCAATTATTTTATTGACCTTATATTAGCTAACGTAATTTCATGTGACAGCAAATAGTTTGCTGCCTCAGCAAACTTTTTCTATGCGTGTACATATAAATAAGAATAACAATTCTTTTTTTTTATGTATTAAATACTTAAGAATATTTTTTAAAAACATTTTTTAATTAAATTTTATTAAATGAAAATTTTTCTTTCTGTAAAATATTGATGATGATAATATTAATCAATATTTGCATTCCACAAAATTATTAAAAACATTGTCAATCGTCTTACGTGATTTTTATTTGTTGAGTTTGCATAATTTAAGAAACATGTAATCAAAAAAATTCCAATAATATATGTCATTCTTAATATTGTAACAAAGAGAATAATGAACAAGAGGGGGGGGTCCTTTTTTTAATTAAATTAATAAACTCTATATAATAAGCTCTATTTTAATGTTTATTATGTACTTGAAAAAATTTTTTAAACAAAAGTCTGAAAAAATGTAAAATATTATTATTTATAAAAATATCGATTAATTTTATAAATTTTAATAAAATATCTAGGTACAATATTTGGTTCAATCCATTCGTTTTAATGCATATTCATGGAAATTATGAGTCAATTATTTATTTTATTTAATCAAAATTCCTTTTTGCTTGTTGGGCAACAAATTAAGAATGTACAAAAATTAATGAGTAATTATATTTATATCTACATGTTTATCATATTTAAATGTTCATAATCAAAATTGAAATTATGCGTGCCAAATCAATTTTTTTCTTGTCACAATGTTTGAAATTGGAGGACAAAAATGTGATTTACTCTCAAATTTTTGAAGAACAAAGAAGAATTTTCGTATATAAACCGAGAGAAAAGGCCACAAATACTATCCAAGTACAAGACATTGTATAACAAACAATATTGTAGAACAATTTTACTAAAATGAATAATATTCAATTATTTTTCATATTGCTTGGCATTCGGTTTATTACATTCATTTCTTCTGATGCAGGGCCCAACAAATATTTATTGAATAATGTAAGTTTTTATTTATTTTCGATTATTCTCTTTATATCATATAAATAATATATTACAGAAAATATAGTCCAAAATAACGAAATTTAAAACTGTATTGCTATGATCCGCCCAAAGTTTTGTTCAAACGTGAAAAAAATATCAGTATTTAATTTATTTTTTTGAAATCGGAGAATATTTAGAGGTCTCTCAAAGGCCAATATTTACAGTAAAAACACTTGAAATTTTTTCTAAATTTGTTATAAAATTATCGAAAAATAAATCAAATAATTTCTGCTTTGGACTAATATATAGTTCTTAAAGAGGATTTAAAAATGGTAATCAATAGTTTATTTAATAATTTCTTAATAACTATTTTAATTTTATGGTGGTTTTTAAAAAATGTTTAAAAAAATTTTTTGATATTAATAAATTTTTTAAACATTAGGTACTGTTTTTTAAACACTTTTCGATAACTGATCCGGTTCACTCAGAGAAATGGTATATTTGTCTCCGAGCCTACTAACTCATTTATTTGTTGCAAATATATTTCATTTCATTGAAATAAAAAATTTATTTGAGCCAAAGAAAAATTTATTTCTGACAAACAAAGTTTTTATTTACGCTAAATAAATAAGTTAGTAGGCTCTGAGATAAATATACGTTTATTTAACTCAAATATATTTTATTTGGTTCAAATAAATCATTTCTCTGAGTGTTGCATTAATGATTTTAGTGATTTTTGACAATTGTATTGTAAAATGAAAGTAAATGTATATAGTATCCGATATTTTTTTTTTAAATTCGAAATTATAATATAATTAAATTCCATCAATAAAATAATTGTTCAGATTAAATACCTTTTGTATAATTTTATAGAGTGCAAACAATATTTTGGGAACAAACATATTGTACACCCAGAGAAATGTTTTATTTGAATTAAATAAAATATATTTGATTTAAATAAAAATGGATATTTGTCTCAGAGCCTATACTAAAGTTTTCTTTGTCTTAAATAAATTTTTATATTTAAATTTGAGACAAATAAATTTTTATTTGCAACAAATATATTTTATATTTAGGACAAATAAATAAAAAGTTTTGAATGTAATATGAGAGGCTGATAGTAAAAATGATTTAAAATAACATTGGGAGCAAAAGTGGGATAAGCGACTTGGGAGAAAAAACGGGTTAAAATGATTCGTGTAATTTATTGATAAATTCATTATATTATCGATTAAAAAATATTAATTATAATAAAATATGCATTTTTTCCTATTGTTAATATTTTTTAATCGTTAATATAATGAATTTATCAATAAATTACACGAATCATTTTAACCCGTTTTTGCTCCCAAGTCACTTATCCCACTTTTGCTCCCAATCTTATTTTAAACCATTTTTACTATCAGCCCCTCATATATTTAATTGCAAAATTGCCTGGTATTCAGCCAAATATTCTGGAATTGATATAATTAAAATTTATGATTCAAATTGAAAATCTTAAATTTTTACATTTCGTGGTTATTTTTTTGTATGTTCCGTGGATATTGTTGAAACATAACAATTTCCATTTCTCTGTGTCAATGATAAGTTGATTTGAATTCTGCTTCACATTTGAGACACAACAGGGAGAAAGACACTCAAAATAAAAGGAAAGTGTGATTTAATTAATAAACACTCGCGAATAAAAACATTTCTTTAATTATCCTGAAATTAGTATTTGTTTTAATCAAATAATAATCAATCCTTGTACAAACAACTGCTTGCTCGCGTTAATCTGTCACCTCGTTTTCACTACGTTCGACATCTTTAAAGTTATATCGTATACAGTATTCTGCGCATGCTTGCGTTGAACTCGAATAAACTTTTATTTCAATTAAATATATTATTTATTTGCCACAAATGTACCTTTTTAAAAAGTACTAATAAAATTGTTTATTTGTAAGAAACATATACGACAATTTCAAACAAACATTTATTTATTTAATTTAAATAAAATACACTGGGTAACAAAAAAAAATGGTTGTGTTGTGTTTATTTCAAAATTCCTGTGTTTATTGAATATTTCGGTGTCACTGAACAAGATAATACACAGAAAAATTTTTTTAATTTGTCCAGATCCCTGAAAATGGGGGTTAAAGTGCCAAAAAATGGCTTTTTTGGCACTTTTTGAAGTACTATAAAAGAAAAAGGTGAGGACATAAAAAGCTCCAATGAGTCTCAAAAGAAAGCTTATACCTTCAACTTTAAGACCCAAGACTGAAATTTCATGCGATAATTGCGGGGAACCTTTATTATTAACTATGATCACTAACGCATCATTGAATTTATAGTTAAAATGTTTCGGAATGTTTGCTTGATAAAAATCGATTCTTCATAATCGAATTTTCTTGATACTATCCACTTAGAGGTTTTTTGAGTTGCTGATTACAAATTTCAGGTTAGTTTTTAAAAATTCAAAATGGCGGATCTAATAAGGTAGACGAATTTTTTAAAAACCGTTTAAATTCTCTTGAGTTTTGTTACTCCGGTATTTTTGGTGTCACTGATTACGTATTTGAAGTCTCCGCAATTATCACATGATATTTCAGTCTTGGGTTTTAAAGTTGAAGGTTTAAGCTTTATTTTGAGCCCTATTAGAGCTTACTATGCCCTCACGGTTTCATTTTACAGCACTCCAAAAAGTGTCAAAAAAGCCATTTTTTGACACTTTAACCCCGGTTTTCAGGGATCTGGACAAATAAAAAAAAAATTTTCCTTGTATTTTCTTGTTCATTGACACCTAAATATTCAATAAATACAGGAATTTTGAAATAAACACAACACAACCATTTTTTTTGTTACCCAGTGATATTTATTTGAAATAAATAAAAATGATTTAAATATACGTTTTTATTCAAAACTAATAAATTTTTTCTCTGGGTGTATACAGGGTGTTCCAAAAGTATGGAAACTTGCAAATATCTCGAAAAGTACGATTTTTTGTAAAAAATGTTCAACACAAAAGTTGTTCCAAACAAAAAGATGTACATTTTTGAAACCAAAAAAATTGGGCCCGGAGCCCAATGTTGGGCCCTACAATGAAAAAAGTGGGTTTCTTAAATGAGACCACTAATTTTCAGTATCAAATTCGTAATCCCCATGAAATTCTGCGTTCAGACATGTGGTATAAGTGCCCAAAATATTGGGCCCAATCCAAGATATTGGGTCCAAAATTTATCAACAGATAAATAAATTTTAAAAAATCGCATCTTGGAGGGATTTTGAGATCACAGGATTAGAAATTCGAAGCTAATTTTCAAATTGTACACAAAGCCCAATGAAAGATTCCGCGGCCCAATATGAGGACCACACTAAAAAAAATTAGTTGTTTAAATAAAACCCACTAATTTTCAGTATCCATTTCAGAATCGTTATGAAATTCTGGGTTTAGACTTGTAGTACAAAAGCCATAAAATATTGGGCCCAATTTCTGGGATTGGGATGGACATTTTTTGACAAATAAATAAATTTATAAAATCGCATCTTTTGGAGTTTTTGGGGTCACAGGATTAAAAATTCAAAGCTACTTTTCAAATTGGGCACAGAGCCCAATGTAAGATTCCGCAGCCCAATGTGAGGCCTACAGTAAAAAAATTAGTTTCCTTCCATTTCGTAATCGTTATGAAATTCTGGGCTTAGACTTGTGGTACAAATTCCAAAAATATTGGGCCCTTACATTGGACTGCAGAATCTTACATTGGGCTCTATGCTCAATTTCTAATTCTGTGATCTCAAAATCCCTCCAAGATGCGATTTTTTAAAATTTATTTATCTGTTGATAAATTTTGGACCCAATATCTTGGATTGGGCCCAATATTTTGGGCACTTATACCACATGTCTGAACGCAGAATTTCATGGGGATTACGAATTTGATACTGAAAATTAGTGGTCTCATTTAAGAAACCCACTTTTTTCATTGTAGGGCCCAACATTGGGCTCCGGGCCCAATTTTTTTGGTTTCAAAAATGTACATCTTTTTGTTTGGAACAACTTTTGTGTTGAACATTTTTTACAAAAAATCGTACTTTTCGAGATATTTGCAAGTTTCCATACTTTTGGAACACCCTGTATAATTCAAACTTATTTTAATAATCAATTTAAGATAAATTTTTGGTATGAAATTGTTGATGAGAGAATTTGAAGAATATGCGAAAGAAAAAGGTTTGTGGGTAAATGTAGAAAAAACGAAAATGATGAGATTTAGGAATAGGAATAGTGTGAAAGAGGAAATATGGATGGTAAATGGGAAAATAATAGAAGAGGTGAATGAATTTAGCTATTTAGGATATTGGTTTAGTTATAATGGAGGACACGAGTTGCATGTGAGAAGAAGGATTGAGAAAGCGGGTAAAATTGTAGGACAAGTATGGGGAATTGGGAAAAGAAGATTCAAGAATGACTGGAAAAAGAGAATATGGTTGTATGATGTGTTAGTATGGTCTGTGGTATGTTATGGGGTGGAAATATGGGGGTGAAAAAAGAGAAAAAGAGAGTGGAAAGTATCCATGAAAGGTATTTGAGATGGACGATGGGAGTGAGTGCGAGTTGTCCAGGATATATGTTGAGGGAGGAGATAGGGAGAGAAAAGATGTTGGTAAGACAAAGAAGGAGAGCGTGTGGTTTTAAGGAAAGGTTGAGTCAAGGGAGAGGAAATAAGTGGACACAATTATGTTGGAATCAAATTAAAAGGAGAGAAGAGAGAGGAGTGAGTGAAATGTCGAAATGGGAAAAATCAAGAATAGAGGCTATAAAGGAAGGACAAGGGAATGAAAGAGGGAGGTTGGAATTAGAGGAAGGATGGAAAGTAAAGGATAGAGAAGAAAGGTGGGAAAAGATTGCAAAGTCGAAGTATAATAGATGGTTTAGAATGGTGAAAGGAGTAGGGGAACCAGTGTATCTGAAAAGAATGAAGAAAGAGAATAGTTGGCAGAAAATGGTGAAGTTTAGAATGGGAGAGGGAATGAGAGAATACAGGTATTGGTTAGAAAAAGATGAGAAATTGTGTAGAATATGTGGGTATGAGTTAGAAGATTGGGAACATGTATTGGAAAGGTGTGTGAAAGAAGAAAGTGGTAAGAATGAAGAGTGGGGTGTAGATGCAAAAGTGAAGTGGATATTGAATGAGAGTGGACAAGGTGAGAAATGGATAAAAGCATTAGAGAGAATGAGAGAGAATGAGGGAAAGAAGAAAATTTCGATTGGGTAGGAGAGAAAACGGAAACGCCAAAAAGGGCAAAAGGAACCAGAAACGGAAGCCCGGGCACTGACAAAATAGATTTAAGTTGTAAATTGTATGCGTAGATAGAGATTATTAAATTGCAGAAAATCAAGCCTAACAGAATTTGTCTTTTTTTTTTGTTGGTATTTTGTTTAAACTTTTAATATGTTTAAATATGTTTCATTGCAATATTTTAAATCAAAAAATGTTGCAAGTTACCCCCACTGCACCGAAATTTTTCTAAAGATTTCCTAAAGATTTATTTGAAATGTTCGGAATATTTAATTGCAATGTTTAGTGAAAATTGTTTAAGGATTTAAATAAATGTCCCACTTGAATAAATGTTTATAGGAAAGTTTCACCAAGTTTCACAGTAAACATTTATTTAATCGGGACATTTAAATCTTTACACAATTTTCACTAAACATTGCAATTAAATATTCCGAACATTTCAAATAAATCTTTATAGGAAATCTTTAGAAAAGTTTCGGTGTTGTGGGAGTATGTTTATAATTCAAATTTTTAATTAATTCACTTTATCATTAATTCATTAGAAAAAATTAATTATTAATGATAATATTAATTGTACCCTGTTTTTTATTTTTTTAGAAGCAACATTCAAAGTTGATAGTCAAACGCTCACCAGATAGGTAATTAAAATTATCAATTAAAATTTTTATTTTTAAATTATACGGAAAAGTTTTTTTTACTTAAAACTAAAAAAAAATCTATTTTAGAGGGTTGCTTTCTTTTTTATACGTTTCTATTTTTTTTTTAATACGTACCTAAAAAAAAAAATTTTAATAAAAATTGACAAAAAATTTTATTTACCATTATGGATTTGTTCTTATAGAAGTCTGATGAGTACTTGAGAAAATTAAAATGTTAATTTTTAGTTTAATATCATTTTTTATAATTCGTAGCAGTAGTTCTGAGGAAAGTTCAGAAGAATATGATTATATACCTGAAACTCAACTTGATACTCAACCTGATATTCAACCTGATACTCAACTTGATCTTCAACCTGATACTCAACTTGAAACTCAACTTGAAACTCAACTTGATACTAAATCTGATACTCAACTTGAAACTCAACCTGATACTATACCTGATTCTAAACTTGATACTAAACCTGGTACTAAACCTGATAATAAACCAGATACTAAACCTCATATTACAAAAACGAATCCAGTCAATAAACATGCTCACAAACCTGCTACTGGGAGAAAAATTTAATGCGCTTTTTAAATCCATTATTATTTGTTGATACCCAAGTAGAAATGTGCCACTGGCATATTACTGACCCAACACTGCCAGTCAGTATAACGGTACTGATTGCCGTACTGGGCCAGTAGTGGACCAACCCTGGTTGGTAACGCTGTCCAGTACTGATTTTGTCCCGCTCACCAGTACTAACGTAGTACTAGAATAATACTGGCATAATACTGGCAAAGTACTCATCCGGACTTAAAATCTCACTTTTTTACAAAATGCTAAAACACGCTTTCCAATGCAAATTTCATCCTTATTAGCTTATTACTCCCATTTTTATCACGAACAGGTAATGTGAAGCCAATAATAGTTAATGTTATTTAGAATATATAAAATATTATTAACAATAAATAATTAAAATAATAATTATCATTTATATTAATTAAATTATTTTATTTTTAATAAATTATTTTACAAAAAATAATTTGTGTTGTAAATTTTTTTATTTTTTTAAATTCATAATATTTAATTTTTTTTACTTTGCACTTATACTTAATTTAATAATTATTTAATAATTGATATTACACATGAACAAATATTGTACTTATAACACTTAAAACTAAGAACGAAAAATCTCGCACGCATGGGGGATCGAACCCTAAACCCTTAGAACGCAAGTCAGATACGCATACCGCACAGCCGCGCTGGCTTGATGTGCTGACTTGAAGTAGTTCACCTAATACAAAAGTTTTGATTTCAAAGTTTGTATTATCTACTGATCACGAAAATAAAATGAATTTATTCTTAAATTTTTTAAACTCATAAAATTTTTTCAATTTTTACAAAGATTTAATGAAATAAAACTGGATATCAATTTCAGTTAAATATTTTTAATAAATTATTTTTACCGTAAATAATATTAAAACAGACAAAAATGATTGATGAATTACATAATTAAAAATAAGTTAATAAAAGACGACTGTAAAATATGAATGGTGAAAAATTTTTTAAATTTAATATTTAATTATTAATAATATTTAAAAATTACAGTGAAAAAATTACATTTGCTTTATTTTTAAAACTATTAGAAAAAAATTCTCAACTTATTGTTATTGTATGCATGATAAATAACTTAATGCACATATTTCAATGAGTACTAAAATAACTAAAAAAACATAAATATATTTTATATAGGTATATAATAATACATTACAAATACATCCAAAATTTTGAGGGAAAGTATTCGAAAGAAATTAATATACATTTTTTAAATAAAAAATCATCGTTTTCTACCTATTGAAATAATTTAAAGACTTTTTCATTTAATGTTTTTTACCTCCGACATAGTACTGATTCGGTGTATTAGTCAGTACACTGCCAGTACTGAAAGTCAATATCGACAGCCAGTATTGGATCAGTACCATGCCGGTGTTTAATTACGGCGAGCTACGGATATTTCTACTTGGGATAATTTTGAACCGTTTTTCTTTGTAAAAATTGTTTTTGTGCAGCGAGGCGACGCGGCACATCAAACTCCGCCGTGGGGAGAGTTGTGCCGCACAGATTTTTTAATTGTTTTAGTTAAAACAAATGATTTTACACATAAGAAATAAAATAACTATTGCCAATGTATGATTTATTATTATTTATTAATGGGAGGCATCACTCTCAATTTTGACCCACTTAAATTTAAATTATTAAACGAGATTATATATTTTTTTCTTGCATCATTTGGATTCCTAAAAACATACAGGATGGTAGAAAAAAAGAAAATTTTTATTTTTGACCATTTTAGAAATTAAAGTCTTAAAAAAATTTATATTTGAAATATCAATCTTCTTTTACAATTTTGATTATTTTTCATCGACAATTTTTTTCCACGCTTTTTTTAATGATTCTTAAGAATTTTTTGCATGGATTTTCAAAAATATTAATTTAAAAAAAAAATGCTAAAATGGTCAAAAATTTTCTTTTTTTGACCACCTTATATGTTTTTAGGACCCAAATGATGCAAGAAAAGAAATATAACCTCGTTGAATAATTTAAATTTAAGTGGGTCAAAATTGGGGGTGGTGCCCTCCCTTAATTATTTGTTATAAATATTTAAAGGTTTTTGTGAATAATCTTAGGATTTCTAGATTTTAGTACCACTTTTAGTAGGTACAAATAAACAATTTCTGACTTATATTCTATAATTATATAGTTACTAAAAATATAATTTTTGTAATAAAAATTTTCATTACTCTCTAAATCTGAATTAGTAAAAATGTTTACTAATTTAAATTAGTGACTCACTTTTTGCTTCAGAATTAGTTAAATTTTACTAATTGTTAGTAAAAGTTAATAATAATTATCAAAATTTTACTAATTCTAAAGCAAAAAGTGAGTCACTAATTCAAATTAGTAAACATTTTTACTAATTCAGATTTAGAGAGTATAAACATTTAAAAGATTTTTCCAACAATCGTTGCATTTACAGATTTTTTTTAAGTATAAATAAACATTTCTGTAAATATTCTCTGAACGAAAAACATCAAATTTTCATAAAATCAAAAAAATAAAATTAAAAATCAGTCTCAAAATATCAGAAAACAATTATAAATTGGGGTCTGTATTTATTACATAGACGGAGAATTTTGAGTAAACCTGGCTATAGGTTAACCATGAAGTAGTATAAGGAGCACCCACTATATAGGCCGTTTTTGAAAATTCTTCCCCAGCCTTTCCAGATTTAATAGAAGCATTTATATATCCCCGATACTAACAACCCTAGCGGAAAAGCGAGGAATTACAGGTCACGTGGTACATTGTTATATAAGTTTTTGTATATAACTGTCAGTTGGCGTTTTTTTTTTTTTGAAATGTGTTTGATGCGAGTTAATTTTGTGTAATTATAAATAAAAAAAAGTGAAAAATGAGGCTGCTAAATTCATCAATGAATCAGCATTAACCTAAAAATAAAAAAAAATTAAGAAATTTCGTTTGAAATATATACGGCTACAATGAAAAAAAATTAATTATATTCTTATTATTTTTTTTTATTTTTATATAACTTACAACAAATTATTGCAATTCCTTTATTATTTCATTATAAAAACATAATTGAAAACAAATATTTTAAAAATCTAAATTATATATTCGTATATAAATAAGCAAAAACTAACCAATTTTTAAATATATTTCAAAAAATGTATGTTTTTTTTTTAAATTTTTGTGTGCAACTTTTTTCTTTCTTTTCAAGTCAAGTCAAATAGTTTTATTGAGATTAAAAATTTGTACACTTTTTCTAAAATTATTATATATCTTTACACTGTTTACTATTGGGAACAGCTGTCACTAGGCGCAGCCATATTTTGAAAACTTCTAAGTACACCGCTTTTCCGCTAGAGGCGTCATAATCGGAGATATGTAATTTCGGATTTATTCTCATGCAGGGGGCCTATATGCTTAACAAGTAGTGAGTGCTCCTTATACTACTTCATGAGGTTAACTAAATATTATTGTTTGTATTGTTAAATATTGCTAAAAAAAAATGTTAACAATTGTATAAATAAAAATTGATACTCATTTGTATAGATTTATATTTATTTTTAATAATACATTCCTAAAAATACTAAGATTCTGCAAAAAAAAAATTCAGAGTTTGTCTGATTTTTAGGTTATAAAGAAAGTTCTATGATAATCAAGATCGGTATAGTATGAAAGTGTCGATGACAATTAAAATCGATAATATCAAAGATTTGTTTTCAATACATATTCAAGAATATAAATTCAAAACTAGTATAATAATGAAATGTTGTTTTATTAGCTTCTTGAAATCAAATAAAATTCTTTATCAAACAAACAGAATTTTATTACTAAATTTTAATAATAGTTAATGAAAAAATGTAATAAAGAAAAAATCCTTTGAAATTTTTTGAAAAGAAGAAAAAATGTAAAACAAAAATTTCTAACTTTTTTATATAATATTAAAATCATATAAATACTCTACAAAATCCTCAAGAAAATTTTTCAAATTAAAAACATCCGTTTTTAAGTTTATCGCGCATTTTCCTTCTTTCCTGAGATATTACAGCGTTTCCATCAACTCTCTTTTTTGTATATTATTTTCTATATATATATATATGTAGAACGTTAATATTGTCCCAGTCAAAATAGTGGTTTTTGTTATTTTTCTTGTTTTCAAATAACATTTAATATTAATTTCTTTTTAAAATATATTTAAAATTATGTTAAGGGTATGTGGGAACCTCCCACGTGATCTAGTATGGGAAAATGTGTTTTGGTAGTATACATCTTACTCTAAAACGATTAAATATTTTTGTCTACAATTTTGAGGGATGATAGATTTTGGTACAAGAAATTTCGCTGTTCTCCGAAAAATACATAATTTTGCTTTAAATTATTAAAAAATGAAGTTTAAAAAGTGGCATTTTTAAACGAAAATAAAAAGAAACATGGCGGCGCATACACAGACGTTGCTTGAGTGTGTCAGTGCTCCAGTAAACAGCGCCAATTCGAGCGAGTGGCCGCTGAATGAACTATGATAAAACACAGTATTTTACTATTTATTGCTTTATTTTTATTATTTTTGCGTTAAGTTGTAGTAAATGAGTAGAACAGCGAGATTCCTTGTACCAAATTAAAACATTTCTCCCAAATTTTAACCCGAAATCATTTTTTATTTCAGAATAAGTTTCAAACCACAAAAAAACGTTCTTTGCCTACATACACTTAATCAATTTTTTTATAAAAAGTAATTTTAAAACCTTAGTTTACATTTTTTTAAAATTGGAAAACTGGTGAGAACCAGAAAACTTTTTTGAAACTAGTAAATATGGGGTTTCCCTATGAAATTCTAGTTAAACTCCTAAAATAAAGAAATTATTAAAAGTTGGTCAATTTCTGCACGGAATTTCTTTAATTTATTTTCTCCCTAAATTTGAATTAGTAAAAATTTTAACTAATTTGAATTAGTGACTCACTTTTTGCTTTTGAATTAGTTAAATTTTACTAATTTTTTTTTACTATTAATTTGTTAAATTTTACTAATTCAAAAGCAACAAGTGCTCAAATTAGTTAAAATTTTTACTAATTCAGATTTAAAGAGTTTACCAAGATTGTATAAAATACCTACTTGTAAATTTGGAGGGAACCTTAAAAATTGTATTCATATTAAATTTATTTAACAATAATTTTATCATTATTTAAACATTTCCATATAATACACTGAATGTTAAATATATTTTCTGAATTAAATTTAATTTTATTTTTAATATCTTTAATTTTAAAACAAAATTGATTACTCTATTATTGTTTTGCATATGATTTTCACAAAATATGAAATCGATTGTTATAAAGGGATTTTTTTTTTACTGAAAAATTAATTTTCTTCATAAAATTTTTGATTAGAAATTATGACTGCTCTATTTGTTAAATTTTTTATAATAGCCATTTTTTTTCTATATGATAAAAAATTCAAAACTCAAACAGAATATATTGTCTTTCTATACTAATATTAATTTATTAATTTATCTGCATTATCTTCAATTACTATACATCTAAAAAAATTATACTATTATTATTTTCATCGATATTCTTGTGTTCTTTGAAGCATTAACTTTTGATATAATTTACAAAAATAATTTTTATGATTTATGAATATTTCAATATTTTTGAATTTTTGAATATTAGCGAGGTTGCTAAAATCGAAATATTATAAGATAATAAAATAATATATAATCCAGAATTATTTTTGTTTATTTATAATTTGCCTCTATTGTGTTTATTTTACTAACTTCTTGTAAAAAATAGGAGAGTAAAGAAAAAAGAAATATTGAATGAAATATGTAAAAGAACAATTCAATTTTCCTAAAGGTCATAGGAACTGTTAAAGAAATTGATATGTTAAACATAATCTATGAGATTGAATAAAAAAAAAAAAGAAAATATCTTGACTCAGCGAAGAATTGCTACTTCCACTTATGTTGAAACGAGCTCCATAAAAAAACCAAGCTATATATATAGGCATATTTATTCAATCTTCCATAAAAAAAGAAATATTAAAATTAAAAATTTAAAATAATAAAAATTGAAATGGAAAATTACCAAACTAGCCAATAGATAAAAAATTTAAACATTAAAACATTTAAAAAAAATTGCTTCTCATTCAAATTTGAAATCATAATTTTAAAGTCTCTGTTTCCGAGAGATAAAAGTTAACGATGTGTATTTAACTGTCGGGAAAAAAAATTATTTTAATAAAATTATTCGAAATAAAAGTTCATTATATATATATGTTCATTGTTCTTTATATATATATGTTAATTTTGATTCAGTGCTTAAAAAAATTTTGAAAAAGAAGGAGCAATAAATATTCAAGGCATATCTATAAACATATCATTAATATACATTGTAAAATGTACTTTCAAAATTCAATATATGAATTTCAGTGAAACTCAATATAGAAATAAGAAGAAAAAAAGTAAAGTTACTTTTTTTTTGCCTCTATTGTACTTTTTATATTCCTCCTGAAAGTTTTAAATTAGAGTTCAAGCGCTCAATCCCAAGGCGGAAGTGGTGAGAAATAAGATTTTCGCGCAACACTCGTGAACATTCTTCGTTGGTGTTCGTTCCCTCTTAAACTGTCAAAACTTCACTCTCTAATTCTGCTGATCGATAAAGGTTTTTAATACAACGATCATTAGCAAAAATTCTTGAAGCGTATATGAAAAGTGTATATATATATATATATACTATTAGGTATAATAATAGAGGAATATTCGTTATACTTTATACATATATCGTAAATATGAATCGATCATTATTTTAATTATTATTGTAACTCACATATACGCAAGGTCTACTGTATTCAATATATGAAATCCGATATTAGGTTATCATCCTTTCAAATTTGTAGTACGATAACAATAAGCAATAGTTGAAGAGAAACCATCGCACTAACTATATATATATGCTGATGCATAATTTTCGATCTCGGAAGTACCTCAAATTCTAACAAGTTCCCTATAGTTTATAGTTTAGGTGAATCCATATATCTATTCCGTATTAATTGATATTTTGCAATTATCTTCTATGTATGTATGTATATCTATCTGTGTTAGTATTTTAGATCTGATTTTAATAATCTCAAACCGAGCGGTGTCTTGACGTGGAATGACCCATATAACTACATGTATTAGTATTTTAGCTCTGATTTTAACCTCAAATCCAGCGGTGTCTTGGCGTGGAATGACACATATAATATCTCTATACTAGCGCAGTACTGCACTGAGAGAACAAAGTAGTTGTGTCAACTAATAAAATGGTTACGAATACTATTTTGGTTAGTAAACTATCCCGTGCAGAAATTTCCCTACTTAGTTCTACTTTAAGTAAGGCTCTCTCATGGCCCTTGCCAGTTTTTCCCAGATTAAACGACAGTTACTTGGTTATGCCATGTTTGCAATATAACCTAGAAAAAAACATATCAAGGCAGTGGAATGGCCCTTGCCAGTTTGTCCACAAGTATGGCATTCCTTAGAGCAACTCGGTCTTCCCATGGTTTTATGACATAACCTCAAAATAAAAAGTCATTTTTAACACCAAATGAAACTATAATAAAATTAAATTTCCATGCAAAATATTTTATCAAGTAATAATTATTTAATAATAATATTTATGAATTTTTAATTATTTAAATAACAATTAATTCATTTATTAAAATTATTAATTTTTTAGAAAATTAAAGAAAAATTAATTAAGTTAATTTTTAAAAAAAATTTAACAATTTTAATCTAAGAATTTTATCAACAACTCAAAAGAAATAAGTGATTTTTTCTTTACAAAAACTAAAATTTATGTGTCTTTTTTTTACTATGTTATCTATATTTTAGATAATAAGAAAAATTATGTTCCTAAGTTTTAATAAAATAAAAAAATGAAAATATTGACTTATGTTAAATGAATTATTTAACATAAAAAATAAATTATAATTTATATATAATTATTGTTTCTTTATTGTTCTGCTGCTCAAGTCTTCATTTTCCTTAATTTTCATTCATCAAATGAATTTTGTATTATTATGGAGCGTTAGGTTAGGGAGTTCGATCCCAGCGACCGCTAAATATTTTTCAAAATTTATGTAAGCGATTGCGTTAAATAATAATAGGTAGAGGTAAATATAAGGTCTCCAGTAATAATTAATTCCATATTTAATTTTTTTGTTTAGTGTTGGTGTTACTACATATTTGAAGTTGGGTCGACTTTGGGATTATTTTTTGTGAGGCTAGAATTGTACATTCTTCTGTTTTTGTTTTGTTACAAGTTTTTGTTGCTTACAAAAAATGCCTTAAGAAATACTTTTTAAGTTATTATGTGAACCCAAAACTTTTTTAAAAATAATTTGTTATTTTTGGTCCCGTGAAAAATAATTTTCGACGTTGAGTTTCGACGCCAACTTCATAGACATGAAGATTTGTTGGTTAGAAATTAAATTTACATACATATTTTTTTTAAAAATTATTTAACGACTCTCGAGCAGTATTTCCAGGTTTTCTGAATCAATT